CTTCGTGTAGCTTTGCGCGAAATTAAAAAACAAACAAACCATACTTACAGTAACAACTAACTATTTTCGTTTTTCCTTTTAAACTGCTCAGCACAATTTCTATACTCAAAAATAAGAATACAATATAGAATAAATCATCAAGACTGGGCTTGTTGGGACTCAATCCATTACCCCAAAATGTGCCTTAGCCTCTCCTATAACCCCCCCCCCCCGCCGCGCCCATTAAGTAATACTCACTTTTAAAACTCGTTCATTTCATAATTACTACCGCATGTGTGCCCATAAGATGTAACGTACAGCCCCTCAATTTTTTGTCTAGCCCACTTTAAGTCCTTCATTAGGAAGAGGCTGGAGCAACGATTGTAGATACTGCAAATATATGAATTTTAGAAATTCTGGAGGATACAGTTGTTTTTGTAGCTATCTTCTAAAATTGTAGCTACAACTAAATTATTATTTTTTTTAGTAATGCATATATTAAGAATACACTATACTTAACAAAAAAGATCTATTTACCTTGCCAATACACATGCCATCCTTCTTAGCTGTTACCCGTAGAAGACCAGGAGGGATGGGCGGAGGAGAAGATCGAATAATATCGTAAAAGTTAGTCGCAAATGAAGGTGATGATTCTAGTTCATGGATTCCGTGGTGCCGTTTTTTCTTTTTTGATGACAAATTTAGCCGTTGTGAGGCTCTGGGGAAAGAAATATAAAAAGTTTTAAAGGAAACGTTTGATTATTTTTTAAAGAGAAACTACACAGTATTGACTAATAGAAAACATGGCACCTTCGTTATTTCTTTAGATGTCTATATTTTGCGCAGCTGAATTTATTTCATTTCGAAAAGAAGCTTAATCGATCGGCCTGACTTGTAAACACATAACAGTGAGCATGTGTTTGCTGAGGGTTAAGAACGCTATTATTAAAACGATTTTGTATATGCAATCACCAAGTTATGTGACAACCACAACCGATATAAAGCCGCAGTAGAACGACATGCATAATAACTGATGGTTTTTGGGAAGGGTATGTAACAATCCTTTACAAGGCAAAATATTCATATACTCAAATGATAAGGATGTGATCAGATTGGGGATTTAGGATTTCCAAGACGAGAATATCCCTTGTACTTTATGGTATTACAGAACAAAGGGATATGGATCAAACTGGGACACTAAGACCATCCAGAAAAAGACCTCTATATTCACAGATTCATTAATCTTGCTATACCGCATTAATACCTTTGAGTACTTACAGCAAAGTTGTTTGGATCGAATATAAATATTTGTGATGGTTAGTAACCTATGCAACCATTTAAGTCTGAAAATAATTAGTTATAATTATTATTATCTCATAATAAAAACAATAAAAAATTACATTTAACTCCAAACGCCAAAATGTCAGAAAATAACGAAAAATGTTGTCCTGGAGTTACAGGTAATTTTTGTGTTGATTTTATATAGATTCTAATTAGTTTTATATCCTACGTTTCTACTGCTAATTGGAAGTAATGTGTGAGTGGTGGCAAGGTTTAGGATTTGGTGAAGAAAGCTTCTTTTATCTTTCTTTTTTGTTAAATATGTCCTTAAGGTTTTCAGGTTGTATCGACTTTAATTGAAAAAAAAAAGCAACAAAAACAAAACAAATTAAATGTTTGTTGTTAAGCAAAAAGCTACACAATGGGCTATTTGCTCCCTATCCACCGCAGTTATAAAACCCGCTTTTTAGCGTTAGAAGCCCTCAGACTTACTGCCGAGTCACTGGGGGTGGAGTCGGGGCTAATTTACAGAGCTATTTACTTCCAGAAGTTGTTTTGTGGTTTCAATGTGAATGTTTGTCATTTAAATGAATGGCCGAAGATGCCAGAATTAACCACGCATACATTAACTGCACATTTGAGACATTTGTACTTTTAAAACAAGACAAATCTGTATTTGTGATCTGAATGTTATATAATACAAATAGAAATCTGTGCTCGCGGGTGAAGGCTGTTGGCTAGCCAAATGGGTCATATTGATCTGGTTTTCTCTATTTTCCAAAAGAAGTCAATACGTTTCTGCAAGGTTGAGGTTTCATAATATGACAAATTGAACCAGTAAGGAATCCAAAGTAGCCAAGTAGTATTATTATATTCGGGTCCGAAATTTGCGTCGTCTAGTCGGCTCTGACCAGCCAGGAGGTCAGTAGGCAGATTAGAGTAGCAAAAAACTAATCGACCAACAGAGCTGATTAGAATTTTAAGCATTTTTACTGTTTTACTCTGACACCAAACGTGTATTTCTATACTTTTTTCCTAAATCCATATTCATGTTTTCGTCTTATTAAATCACCTTTTTTTTTACTTCAATCTCCCAAACTGAACCTCAAGCTTTCTGGAGATCCCTGGTCTACTTTTAAACATTATGGGAAATCCCTATGACGTCGAAAATGAAAAAAATCACTGAAATATGTGAATGGCTGGACCGATCCAAACGAAGTGTGAATAAAATATTAAAATCTCATTGGAGAAATAACTTGCCTTTTTGTCAGTAATCTCAAGTAACATTATTTTGTGTGTTTATCTAGATTAATATAAAGATTATGTATATTCCAAGAGCGATATAATCAAAATATGTTGTTTTAAATTAATGTTTTGTTTGATAGTATGTTTCAATTTTCTATATATATAGATACACACACACAACAATACGTGCCCGGCATGGCCAGGTGGATAAGGCACTCGACTAACAATCTGAGGGTCTCGGGTTCGAATCCGCATCCCACCAAACATGCTCGTCCTTTCAGCCGTGGGGGTGTTATAATGTGACGGTCAATCCCACTATTCGTTGGTAAAAGAGTAGCCCAAGAGATGACTAGCTGCCTTCCCTCTAGTCTTACACTGCTAAATTAGGGGCGGCTAGCGCAGATAGCCCTCGTGTAGCTTTGCGCGAAATTACAAAAAACCAACACACACAACAATACGCGGCAAACAATATTTGATAAAAAAGAAAAATCATTATAGTATAGAAATTTATGATTTTACCTTTTACAGTAAAAAGAAAATACAATTTCAATGAAACACACACACAGTTTGTATTTATTTATTAATCTGTGAAATTGTTAACAGCTGGCACCTGGAAGCTACAAAGTATTTAATGGCAAAGAGGAAACAAAAAAACTATTAACTGTTAAAGTTCAATTAATGTGAACTACTCACGATATGAATATAGAAAATTACTGCTGTCACAAGGTTGTTCTACGAACCATCCAATCAGACATCAGTGTTAAAGTTTGGGCCATGAACTACAAATTGAGAGCCTCCGTTCTATGGTCATGGGGTTAAAATTATATTACACCGTTTTTTTTTGTTGTTGTTGATGTTGTTGTTTTTCTTCAGGATAAGGCTGTTTAATGTCCCCGACACGTTCTCGTTTTATTTTTGTTTTTTTCCCGAGCTAAAATGCGGCCTGTTTCAACTATGTACACATGATCATAATTTTCACAGATTACACGATAACCTATTTATTTTTTAGTTCCGACTATTTAATATGATGATTGGTTCTTGGTGCATGTACTAACATTGTTTTTCAGTATAATATCAGATAATACAGCGTCGTCTATTAGAAGGCTAGTAATGTTTATTAATGAACTTTCAATCTTAGTGTTATGTTTGAGTCAGTAAGAAACGATGGACCATGTTTGATCAAACTAAAGGTTGTGGATGTTTTTAATGACCATATCAACAACTTGGATGTTTTTCACGACTAGATCAACAACTTGGATGTTTTTCATGACCATATCAACAACATGGATGTTTTTCACGACCATATCAACAACTTGGATGTTTTTCATGACTAGATCAACAACTTGGATGTTTTTCATGACCATTTCAACAACATGGATGTTTTTCATGACCATATCAACAACTTGGATGTTTTTCACGACTAGATCAACAACTTGGATGTTTTTCATGACTAGATCAACAACTTGGATGTTTTTCATGACTATACCAACAACTTGGATGTTTTTCATGACTATACCAACAACTTGGATGTTGTGATTCACATATATTCTCTGTAAGGTTTGTTTGAATGTTGACAGTGGGTCTTTGATTTTCTTAAAGATGGGTCGGATGATTATCAAAATTACATTGTAATTCATTAGTTTAAGATCTGTAATCAGTTTTGTGGGTACATTAATAGAATAAAGACGCAAAATGCGATTCGGGAATTTTATGTTTTACATGATTTTTGTTGTTTCTTGAATTTCGCGTAAATCTAGTCGAGAGCTATTTGCACTAGGCACCTCTAATTTTGAAGTGATGGATTAGAGAGAAAGCAGTTAGTCAACATTACCCACTGCTAACTCTTGGATTACCCTTATCAGACGCAACGCGAACCATGGAACCTCGTGTTTACAGTCCGATATGCTACCACTGAGTTGAACTCAATTCCATGGTTCTGGAAAAGTGCAGGTAAGTGCACAACGTAAAATTGCGTTCTTATTAATAAAGGTGTTATTGATTATTGTGTTCATTGTGAACCTGTGTCTTCTCTCACCCCTCCAGTCTACATTAGACATCCCCAGTCAACATAATCCGTTCCGTTTAATAACCATTACTCACCGGCCAGCTACATCTTCAGATCTCTTGATATTGTGATAGTTATTTATCTGTGTTCACTTATATTACTCATCATGCATAATAATGAGCTATGAAGGTGTAAGACTAGTGGCCTTGATAGAGACAACTGATACGTCTAAACATGTCCGGTGACGTATAAATACAATTTCAGTTGGAGTGTTGAGAGTTGTGTCTACTTGAAATGCCCAGTTTTGGTCTTTGGGTAGCGGATGAAAATAACTAGTTCATAAATATACGACAGGGGATATTAAGCCCAACTGATACCTTAACCTGTTTGAAAAATTTAAATGTAAATGTCATATGCTTACAAATGCTTAAAACATGAAGTTGTTTCGGGCTGCAAGTTAACTCATTAGCAACCGCGCCAGGAAATTGTGATCTAACTTGTACACATGATGTCTGATATAGAGCATCTCGGTAGCAAAAGAAAGTTATAACTTTTAGAGCATATCAAAAAAGTATACTATTACAATAAGGTGAAGCAAAACATATTCTTTCGAGCAAATTTTTAATATTCGTAACACTGACATCTTGTGAGAAAACAAACAAACTATAGCTGTATAACAGAAGTAATATAATGCGGGTATATTCATAATGTTTAAATATGATTTCAATTTATGCCAAAACATATGTATATATGCCTGTTTATTATTATTGTTGTTTTCACTATGAATGTTTTTGTTTGACCACTAGTCTAACAGGATCTGTCTTGAACGCAAATTCGAAGTTCAGAACATAACAGGAAAAGGATGAACTTTATTATATCTTTAAGCAAAAATAAATTAATTACTGCACACAATACAGTTTGAAAGATTTCAACAAATTTAAAGATTTGTATGTTTATATTGTGAACAACATCCATTTTGTATTAATCAAAACTCAATGTCATAATCTGAAAACAATCACCATATTAAAGAAATCGTACTTAGCGTAGCTTTAGCTCGTAACATTTACTTGCTTCGATGTTGAAAGCTGGAAGGCCTTTCATGATTGTTACAACCCAAAGCCAATTATTAATATTGGAAAACCAATTGAGTGTATTAAGTAAAATTTAGGTAGAAGACTGTTTTACAG